GGGGGTGGGAGTCTCCGCATGGCTGAGCCGGGTGCTTGTGCCCGTAGGTTCCCTGTCGTCGCTTCCAAAGGGAAACCCCACAATGTCCGGAGGTCTCGATGTCCTGCAGATGAAGGAGGAGGATGTCCTCAAATTCCTCGCTGCCGGGACCCACCTGGGAGGCACCAACCTTGACTTCCAGATGGAGCAGTATATCTACAAAAGGAAAAGCGATGGTAAACACGTAGGATGGGCAGCCCTGGGTGGGCAGCAGGGATTTTGCGGGCACAGCTGAGGAAAGCAAGAAAGTCTTAATGCTGGAGCTCTCTGGCAGTTTCTCCATGGCCTGAAAGGTGCAGACATCTCTAGTGATTGAATCATGTTACTCATAGAATAGAATCATAAAATCGTTTAGGTTAGAAAAGACCTTTAAGACGATCAAGTCCAGCCGTTAACCTAGGACTGCGAAGTCCACCACTAAATCATGTCCCTAAGCCCCACATCTACACCTCCTTTAAATACCTCCAGGGATGGGGACCTCAACCACTTCCCTGGGCAGCCTGTTTACTGCCTGACTACCCTTTCGGTGAAGAAATTTTTCCTTATATCCAAGCTAAACCTGCCCTGGCGCAACTTGAGGCCGTTTCCTCTAGTCCTGCTGCTTGTTACTAGGGAGAAGAGACTCACCCCCACCTCGCTACAGCCTGCTTTCGGGTAATTGTAGAGAGCGGTAAGGTATCCCCTCAGCCTCCTTGTCTCCAGACTTAAACAACCCCAGTTCCCTCAGCCGCTCCTCATAAGACTTGTTCTCTAGACTCAGAGAAGTAGGACAAAATGTGGATTTGAGAACTTGGTAAATCAATCGCAGCTGGTTCTGGGCACTTCTGCTAGTTCTTGACTATAGTAACAAAATGGTTTTAGTGTCTCAATAGTGATTGCTGCTGTTCGTTTGCATTGTTCTTCAATCTGATCTGCACCCTATTAAAAGATTGAAGCTCTACCAGGCCCTGGTTCATGTTGATAGGTGCTGGAAGTGTGCTACGTGAAAACCATATGGGAGGATTTTCCTTGGAATAGCTTTCCACTAACTAGAATTCTGGAGTAACTACGGCCATGTGACAAGTTTAATGGCAGAAGAGTGCTATTCTGCTTTAGGATCTTGCATTTGCTGGTTGCTCTAAAGCCTTTTGTCACCAATAGGTATTTACATCATCAATCTGAAGAGGACCTGGGAAAAACTCCTCCTGGCAGCCCGTGCCATTGTTGCCATTGAGAACCCAGCTGATGTGAGCGTCATTTCTTCTAGAAATACTGGACAGGTATGGACATCTGTTGGTCATGAGGCCTGCAGTCTTGGGAGCAGGACTGTCTTGCCATGCATTGTTGCCTGCCAGTGGCAGCTTAATGATAAAAGGGAGTAACACAAATTTGGGCTCTAAGAACACTTTTGGAAGCATGTTTCTTGTGTTGCACTTGCAGCTTAGAAGAGATGAGTTGAAACCCACCCCCATTTCATTTCAGGATGTTTGATAACTTGGTTTTTTTTTTCACATCCTGCTTTGGGTACTTCCTGTTGGATTTCTGGCATATTAGTGGCCTGTCCCCTGTGGCCCCTGCCTCCCCAATAATTCTGTGAGTCATTGGCACTGCTTTTTGGGGACAATAAGTGCCTGATAGAAAAGTTTTCAAAGAAATCATTTGCTCAGTTATTGAGCAAGGTATAGTAACTAGTATATTTTTAATTTCATCTCTATATTTTTGGCAAAAAAAGTATGTCATAGAAGGGGACACAACCTTTAAATTAAATCTAGTTAGCCACTGAAGTTCGTCTGTGAGCTTAGTTTCTTTGGAGTAATGCAGGTGGTGCCGCAAACATACGGGAAGATTTTGAATGACGTGGGGTGGATTTACAAAGGAAAAGCTTGGGTTCCTGTGGAGTTGCCCTGCACACTGTTAAAGCTTGATGCTGAGGTCAGTTTCTGGCCGATGAGCTCTCAAGTGTCGGAGGTGTGCTACAGCAAACCGGACAGCAGGGTTTTCGCTAACGCCAGGAGAGGAGCTCCCTCTGTGAATGGAGTTTGATAGTAGGCCCTGCCACATGCCTGAGAAGTTGAAAGCTGTTGCAGGTGAGTAAGAGCTGCCAACTTCAGTCATAATGGATGCAGCTATGGGTTGTGTATATTTACTACTGAGCTTTTCCTGTAGTTCCTCAAGTTATGCTTCTGGATAATGAAAGGATGTAGAAATAATGGAAGAAAATTGGCTTTGCTTTTTTTATAAGTTGTTTGTTTTGTCTCCCCTTTCGTGATTGGACTCTGAGACTTTGGAGTAGAGCTTGCAACAAAGTTCAGGAATAAAAAGGTTTCTTCCTGTATCCTGACTTCTTGCTTTGCTGGTGGATATGATCTTTTTAACTCCTGGTGTTGGTGTCGCTATTTTTAAAAGCATTTTTATTTTGTCTCATTGAATGCAGAGCTGTTGGTGAGCCCTGATTGCACAGGAGTTGAAACAAATAGTTCAGTTAAATTTCGTGCGTGTTCACTGACAGCATACCTGGGTGACTCGGTTGAAATGCAGTTTTCCTGCTTCACCTTTGCTGCGGTCCATTTTGCAGCGTGCCGTTCTGAAGTTTGCTGCTGCTACTGGGGCTACTCCTATTGCTGGACGTTTCACCCCCGGTACCTTCACAAATCAGATCCAAGCAGCTTTCCGTGAGCCACGGCTCCTGGTTGTTACGGACCCCCGGGCTGATCATCAGCCGCTGACAGAGGCGTCTTACGTCAACATCCCCACCATTGCGCTGTGCAACACCGACTCCCCACTGCGCTATGTGGATATTGCTATTCCCTGCAACAATAAGGTAACGGCTTTGTTGCGGCAATCAAAGCTGCTTCCTCCAGAGTGTGCCCTAGGTTCCAAGATGGATGCTTTCTGCAGGGGAGGGTCGGCTTGTGGCTCACGTCTCCCGGGGTGACGAGCTAATTAAGGCCTTTCGCAAGCCAGCGGGCGGGTGGGCAGGAGGAGGTGAGCTGCACACAGTTGGAGCTTGGAGCTGAGGCCAGTTTCTGGCCAAGGAACTCTCAAGTGTAGGACGTGTGCTACAGTAACCTGGCAGGACTTTTCGCTGACACCATGAGGGTCTTCGTGGCCCAAGGAGTGGAGTTTGGTAGTCATTCTTGCCACATTTTATGAATATGAATGAAAGATAATATCTTACATATTCATAATATATATATATATATTATATAACAAAATTCATATATAACATACGAATGAAAGTGAACTGATGAAGAAATGGCTCTCCAATGTTACCTTGCCAGAAACCACTTGAAAGGTTTCTAGGGAGATGGGAAGCTATCTTTGATCTCTATTTAGATGTTGTCATTCACCAAAACTAACGTAAGCCACATCTGAGCACGTGTGTTAAGAGCTGCTTATTTGGTCAAGTCTTCTCCGTCTTCATTCTAGCATCTGTGATGAGCATAATCCCTGTCTTTTGGCCAAGATTCACGTGGGGTGGTGAGCAGTATGGAACTCCGTAGCAGGAGAATTGCTTCAGGCTATGCTGTATACAGCAAATTCAGATGCTGGCGATTGAAGTGTGCTGCAATTTCTGTAGAGACCTGAATATGTCACTGGGAACTTGAAAAGTTGCCCTTTCCTGAGTCCAAGTGCATAAGTCTGGGTGTTAGCAAGTGGTGCCTTTCCCTTGCCAAGAGAGAACCTTGGATTGAGTGCAAATAAGTATTTTAAAGAAAAAAGGTGTTTTCCAAGGTTTAGCTTTACAGGACATCTTAACGTACGTACTTCTGTTGCAGGGAGCCCATTCAGTGGGTCTGATGTGGTGGATGCTGGCTCGGGAGGTCCTGCGGATGCGTGGCACCATCTCCCGTGAGCACCCGTGGGAAGTCATGCCTGACTTGTACTTCTACAGGGATCCCGAGGAGGTAGGGGACCTGCGGAAGGAAGCGTGGCTGCGTGAGGCGTCCTGCCTGTGCTTCTGCCCTGTGCTCCTGTGTGCCTGCTGTTGAGGACTGGTTTTGCCAATAGAATAATTGCACTTCACGCTTAAGGCAGTGGTTAATTAGTCTTGTCTGTTGTTGGTTGGCGCACGTTGTCCGGTATGCGATGGCGAGGGTGGTAAGGTGTTTCTGGGAGGCTTAGGCTACTCTCTTCCATTGCAGATCGAAAAGGAGGAGCAGGCTGCTGCTGAGAAGGCCGTAACGAAGGAGGAGTTCCAGACAGAATGGACGGCCCCAGCTCCTGAATTCACCGCTCCTCCTCAGCCCGAGGTCACAGATTGGTCTGAGGGAGTGCAGGTCCCGTCCGTGCCCATCCAGCAGTTCCCCACAGGTCGGTTTGGGGGGTGCCTGTGGGAAGCAGGGTACGTGTTGCAGCGGGTGGGAAGAGCCGGGGCGCGCTAAGCGTTGTTGTCTTTGTAATTGCAGAGGACTGGAGCGCCCAGCCTGCCACCGAGGACTGGTCGGCAGCTCCCACAGCCCAGGCTACCGAGTGGGTTGGCACTGCCACGGAGTGGTCTTAACTTCAGTCCCGCTATACTGTGAGAGAAATAAAGACGGGTTTAGTACACGCCACGCTTGGTGCTGCTTTCTTAGACTTGTTGGCAGGTGAAGTACGCGGGTGGGATGGGGCACCGTCCTTGGCCCGGGGTGGGAGGGTCTGTGAGCTGCTGCTTCGCCCGCTTCCCTGGAGCTGGGGGTGCTGGGCTCCGGCCCTGCCCGCGGCAGTTTTCCTGCCTTCCCGGGCTCCCTGTTGGCCAGCGGGGGGCCAGCTGTCCGGAGGGGAGGGAAGGTGTCAGCGGGTGATGTGCGGGCCAGGGCTGGTTTTCCTGCCACTCCCCGTGCACTGGGGAGGGGTGAAGCTGGGCTGGCCCAAACGGGGCGCTTCATCGCCCCCGCCCGGGGCGTCACCGGTAGGCAGGGTCCTGTGGCCAGGACCACTGGAGTGGGAGAAACACCAGTGGTGAAACACGGGTTCTAGCGTCCGTGTTACTGATTCCTTCCTCAAAAATAATTAGGTAATCCTCAGGAAAACAAAACACATGAATTCACCTGCATTAACTATTTTGAGGATTGTATTCCTGTGATTAGTAGCAATAATGGGAGGCAGATCCTTCACCGAGAGTAACGGGGGTTTTGTTCCTTGGGGGTGGAGATGTGTTCCAAGGGGATCCCTTTTCCCGTATTGCTGTGGTCTCAATATTCCCCTTTTTCTAGCTTCAGCCATGCCAATCAACCTGTAAATAATGTTTTCCCTTAGCACATGCACTCATTTGCTTTTACTGCAAGATGCATATTAGCAGTAAAACACCTGAAGTGAGCTATGTGTATTATTGCACAAGATCTGTCCAAAGGAAGCCCGTCTTTTTTCTTGCTGTCTTTGCCTATTAGATGCAAAGCAACTACAGATGTTGTTAATAATTAACTGCTTTTAGCGGAGACATGTGAGCACTTTACTATTTGGCCCTGAAAGGGCCCTTCCCATTCTGTGCGTGCGCTATGTTTTTCGGATGTGCGTTTCTGGCACATCCTCGAGTCCTCTCCAGCAGCGGGAGGCTCCTTCCTGCTGCCTGGGGTCTGTCACCGCCTCTCGGGGCGGGGTGACAGCCTGTTGGGACTCCGGGTGGGTGCCGTAGCTGGACCGAGGACAGCCTGTACAGCAGCTGCTGATTCGCTTCCCAGCTCTGAGATTGCCTGAAATAATGCCCTGGCCATTCTTTTTGCCGTTCTTTTTACCCTTCCACGTTAAAAGTTTCCAAACTCAAGAGCACGGGCTTACCCCTCTGTATTTTGAATCACTGCTATTGCTGTTTCACCATGGTCCCTTTTCTTTACCTGTTTTGTAACCTTCATGTGAATGTGTTCCAGATACTGAGAACGTGGCAGTCATCAGACAGCTCCTGTGTAGGTGATGGGGCTGTTTTACATCAGTGATAGCTGCATCTGAGTACCTGTTACTGAAATATTTCTGGCATGTTACTGGAATGTGATTGTTTTCATCTAAGGATTTCCTAAAGTATCACTTTGACTTTTATGATAAGTGGTTTTTTTACGACCAAGGAGGCAGCAGCAGAGAAGTGGCAGGAGATCTTACATCTGCCAGCGCTTCCCCTGTGGCAAATACCTGGTGGATATGATCTATTGAGGCAGCGCAGAGGGATAGGAAGAGGAGCTAGGAGCAAATCCTAGAGACAATGGCTTGTTTATTATTGCAATTTTGTCTGGCAAATGCAGTGTTGATGTTGAAAAAGGACAGCAGAGAACTTGTAACCATGTTCCTTCTGGATTGATCTGATTTGACCCAAGATGGCTGAGGCCGAGGTCTCCACGTAGTGAAAACAATTTCTTTCCCTTGAGGGTCTGGCGGTGTTCCCTTTCTCCACGACCTTCTCTTTGTAGTTGGTTTGGGTTGGTTGCACTGGGCTAGATGTGCTTCTTAGGATAGGATAGCCTTTCCCTTCCCCATTTGGTCTCAACAGGAGCTAGCTGACATTGCTGAGCATCACAGAACCCCCCTGGAGAAATGAGCTGTTGAAGACTCCTTGCCAATATGCTACTATCTGATCCATGAATCTCATACACACATGTGCTTTCTAATTCCCTCCCTAATTTATGTGCCCCCATTCACAGATGTTCCTTTTCCTCTCCAGTAGTTTCTTTGCCCAAATAATCACATGGTATTTTTAGTGTCTAAGTATTGTTGTAGGATGACATCAAGGCTTTTCTTTTACAGGAAGCAAAGGGCTTTATGCACAGTTGAAGAGACTCAGCTCCGTTTACTTAAATCCAGGCTGCAAGTGTGTTCCACTCGCAGTGCAAATGGCTGTAGGATGGTCGATGCTGTCTTTTAGGAGTATGGTATACTCATATTAGAAGCCTGTTTAATAAAATCAGTGTGCAGCATATAAGTAAGTATGCAAAGGAAAGTGAGCAGCATGTGTGGCAGCTGAATTCACCTGACTGCTCCTCTTAGGAGGCTTCCTCCCCACCCAGGAGAGCCAGCATGCAGTTGGTTTGGATCTTGTAATTTTAAATTTTCTTTTTTCTTTATTGGGTTAATAGCATCCTGGTGCAGATAGACTTTACACGGAGTAAAGCACATGGTAAATCCACAATTGTCACGAACTCAGCACTCTCCAAAGCTGTGCGTATTGGACCTTCTCAGGACAGATGAACCCTGTCGTCTTGAATACGTGCGTCCTAGCAGAGGAAGAAAAACATTTTGGATTTGCCTCATTTTCGCTGTAGTACCAAGGAGTTGCTGGGGCATCTCCCCACTGCCCCGCAGCTTCCAAAGAGACATTGGCCAACATTTTAAGCAGAATTTCTTTCTGCTAGCCAATGCTTGGCACTACCAGCTCCCAGCCCTTGCAGCCTAGAGTTTGTGAAACCACAAAGCCTCCGAGTTTGTGAAAACCTCATCTGCAGCGAGTCTGCATGACAGGTAAAGGTAGAACAGTGTGTTACAGCTGTATGTAGGAGTGGGAATGAAGAACATCCTTGATTATCAGCCCTGCAAAGAGGCAGGCTGTGATAAACACCTTGGGCATGGTCTTGCTATGTAAAGTCTCAACCACAACACTGATGTTCTGAATTTCTTGCTTCCTGTGATGCTGATTTCTGAAGCTGGTTTTACCTGCTCTTTTTAATACTTGTATTTTTAAGAATACTCACTGCCATTTTTCTACTGTCCAAATTTGAAAGTGTGTCATTTTTATTTATACCTATTCCTGTATATATGCAGCAGTCACTGATGAATAAAAGTGCATAATGAAGGTATTTTTTTTGTTTTAGTTATCTCTGTAGTTGAAAGAACATATATTTTCTGGGCTGCTACTTAAAACCTCAGTTTGTAAAGCATTCATAAAGCCTGCATTTAAGTAGCGTGTCTCTTCTCATGTGAGAGAGTCCTCAATATTTCTGTCAGCATTTGTTTCACTGGCTACAGGATTACTGTTTTTACTAGTACTGTTCAAGCATGAATAAAATAAATCCTCTAAAGGACATTGGATGCATCCTCTGAAATGGTGGCTCCCTAACCTTGCTTTCAAGGCCAGGGAAAGCTGCTTTCGTACAAAATCGCTGTGTTCATTTTAAATGCTATTGCACCGCACCCAAGAGGGTTCCTTGGGTTGAGTAATTTCTCTCTTCATTTCGGTGCGGAGTCTTGCCAGTGGCTCCTGGGCAGAATGAGGGGTACCGCGGCACGGACCACCTTTCAGCGGCACCGTGTGCCCGCCACCCTTAGCGTGGGGGCTTGGGTTTTAACAGCAGGCAGCTCGGAAGAGGAGGGAATGAGGTGCGTTGTACGAGCCAGAGCGGGATGCTGAGGACTGAAACAACTACCCCTTCAGGTGTTCGAAGGGACTATACGCCCGTGCGTGTGGGTTAGGGTTAGGGCTGTGCAAAGCAGGGAGCTCAGTATAGGAAGAAGCGTGGCATGTTGCACAGCTCGGAGCTGGTCTGCCACGAGGACAGTCGCGTCCAAGACTGGGGCAAGCTTTTGCCGCAACCGTACGCACAGGCACTGCTCATTCCTGTGCCACGGTTGGAAACCCTGTGGTGCTGCCATAAAACCTAGAAAGTTTCTGTGAAGCTTGCACCTGTAATTATCACCTGTAATGCTGAACTCGTTAGCCTTGCCCAAGCAGCTAGTTCTGGTCCCAGAGGCTGTTTGCCACATCGCCTCTGGAGAGCCGAGGGGATGCTGAGAGTGAAGGAGACTGAGCATTTGCCTTTTGGGTCTGAACTAGCTCAGGACCAATGCAGGCAAGGTGATGACTGTACCAGCGTTTAGCCACTCTCAGATGCAGGTATGTTAACAAAAGTGGCTTTCTGGGGGCAGGCAAACGCCCGAGCATCCCTCCCACCTGGCAGGTTTCAGGTGGGTGATGGTGGTGGGCTGCACAGTTGCAAAATGCGAGGGTGCGGATCATTTCCAAGACCCCGGTAGATGGGGCTGTTACTCCTGGTTTGTCCGCCTTTCGGCTGCTGCTGGCGAGCTGGGCATGGCGGGCAGCGGGCGAAGGAAGGATGGCCAAAAGCTGCTTTGTAAGCACACCTGGGCCTTTCGGGGTGACTCCCTGCGGTGAAAGGGATCGCCTGCCCCTCCTAAATATCCCAGCTGCTATTCAGTGCTGTAGGAGAGACTCAATACCATTGCAAATGCCCTGGCTATGGGGACTAGTGGAGAAGTGTCTTCAGCGCCAGCCTCCGTCTCTTGCAGTCGGAGCAGAGCTGGTCCAGCTGGCGCTTGCCCTGCCTCTCACTTTTTGCCTTCCCTGTAGCAGGATGGTGCCCTCTCACAGGGCTCATAATACACTTTTTGTAAAAAAAAAAAAACCCAAAACCTACTGTTTTTTCTATACATGTCTGAGTGTTAAACTTGTCTCCGTGCTTAGCTGCAAACCTTGATCTTGCTTTTAAATTTCTCTAAGGGAGCAAGTGTGGGATGCTTCTGGCTTCCAGTGCAGAGAAATACAGTGCTCCTAGTTGAAGACGCCTTGGAAACTTTCTAGCTCATCCATCCTGCTTGGCTTATTGCTTCCAGCATTTCTAGAGTGACTTGTCT